CAACAGCATATTAGCAGGGATAGTTAACGGATCATTTATCCCAATTAAAATCACAATAAATATACACGTTCTCTCCAAATCCAAGCACTTAACACCAACACCAAAAAAAACCCCTTATGACTAGCCAAAGTAGTAAACCTGCTAACTAAAGGTGGGTGTGAGAACTGGCTGAGGGAAGAAAGAATACGGTTATACAATTAGATGAAGGAGATTCATGACAGACCTCACACTGACTTGCAGGACGGACCCAAGTAACACAAGTGAACATCTCTTTCTCTACTGCCAGGATCTGCCTTCTGAGTCTCTCCAGGCTGAGTATAAGGTTGTGTGATGACCTCCTCTATTCCAATCTCACAACCTCCTAGGAATCACAAAAGGTGGGCAAATCTGTATTATTATCCTGTTTCTGAATCGTATGCTTCACACTTAAATGTGCACCGATTGGAAACAGAAATGCTTAAGCGATTCCCCACCAGCTCACAGAGCTGTAGCAAGCAGAGCTCACAGTGTTGCTCACCTTTGCCACTGCATGCCAAACCTACGGAAGTTAAAACGCTGGGCATAGCTTTTTAATGACTCAACAGCCTGATACACTATCATCATCTCTTTCCAATATGTACTGTATTAATGGTTTTCACAATAACTACATGACTCACAGGCACTTTCAGTTTAAGTCTGACAGGTAGCCACCATTATTATTGCTGAGAGTTTAACCTCACTTTATATTTATGGAAACCAAGGCACAGAACAAACAAACAACTGCAAAAAAACTAGGAAAAATTAGAAGGAAGAAACGCCACATCTCTCCCCTGATGCTACTTCCACACTGCTGAGCTACCTCCTCTCTTCTGAGCCACAAAGCAGCCCAGATGGTGCAGAGAAGCATCTCTCCTCAGACAGGAGGCTGATAACCACAGGGAGATGTGATAAACCCGTGGAACGGCTGAAATGCCAACGAAAGGTCATACGGCCCGAAAACCACGTCACTTCAGGGTTTCCACGAACAACCTGAAATAACTGTCGCGATGGCTTCCTCAAAGAGCAACCTTTCAGCGCAGCATGGGAGCCATATCTAGCACATTTTCTCTCTCAAGGAGAGAGAGGAAATAAAAGGGGCACAGGCACATCCTGCTGTCTGCCGAGGGGCACTCTTGAGGAGCGTGACGGTTAGCAATTTGACAGACAGCAAAGTCATTTTCATATGTTAAGAGAGGAAACCGTGCGGGGACTTAAGAAATACTCATGATTTAAATACAGAAGGAGAGTCTACGTGGCATGGAAGTTGGAGAGGCTGGCACATGATCATCCAGAGTGTAGAGAAATACTTCAGCTGGAGAAAAATACTGTGTTTTTTCAGAACAGGCCATCACAATAAGCGATCTCAGGTGCTTCACCCATGAGACTGAATGCCTGAACATGATACCTTTTTTCCATCTTTCACCTCTGAACTGATCTTGAGCCATCCAAGGAAGATGCCGATACCATGAAAGCGTAACCATTCAAAAAGCACCAGCAAGAATACTGGCAATAAAGGACTTAAATCCCTTGTCCAGCCCCACAAATGAGGCAGCTGAGATCTGACAAAAGAGAGGATTTGTCTTGAAACAACTCTCCTCGGCTGGCTGGCCTGCTCCTGCCCCGCCAGATGCCCAGCACCACTGCCACCCTAGGCCGAGAGGGCAAAACCATCTCAGCGTACTGACAGTCAGCTGCTGTACGCAGGCTGGAAGAAATACCGCAAGCAGACTTCAGAGATCTCATTATATTAGATTGCTTTTCAAAACTAACCTACATGTGGTGTTATGCATACCAAACACGTCACTGAATTTTGTAAATCAATGATAGTATATGTATCAACAGTATAGAATAAATTATTCAAATGGCAATTCATACTCCAAATGCATGCTTAGATTGCCTCAAAAAGTAGAATTTTGAATTAATACCTCTTCTAGTCAATCAAAACCCATGAAATATAAAAGTATCAGTTACATACAAAAATCTGTGACTTGTATCAATAAAGTATTTTATTAAAAAGGTCAAATATTCTGACGAACAAGGTTACATTCAAATTATTTCTGACTACTTGTGGTCCAGGGAAGAAAGCCAGCATATGCCCTGCAATGCACCCTCAGCCTACCTAGTTATGTAGTTTATCACAAATATGCTTTGGAAGAAATTAATTAGCTCATTAGGTTTAGCTAATAGTTTGTTTAGCCTTCCTTTGACAAAAGTGACATTTAAAAGAGCATATTCTACTTCAGAAAATAAAATCCCACGTGACAAGATTCAAAGAACACCAAGTACAAGCAACACATACCACCAGGAGTTGTAGAATATTTGAAGAGATTACTCTTTCTCTGCTAACAATTAAAAATAACTTTAAAAGACCCTAAGAACATCACAAAGGTACAGCTTCATTGATGCACTGTTGAAGTTGAACTTGTTGAAGTAATCTCTCCTTTATTAATCCCTGAAATAATGCCACAAATAAAAGACCTAATTCAGGGAAAACCCACTGTGATGAATTCAGTGTGTTTTATTTTCTCATTATCACAATAGCGTACTTTCTGTTTTAAAAGAACTGTGTGTTTTGAGGACTTCAGCAATTTCCTTCTCCTGAAGTACAGCGTTTAAAAAAAAAACCCGCAAAAAACCACCGTTGCCTGGTAATCAATCACCTACCATATTTATCAGCTTTCACATTCAATTTGCTAAAATGAGGGACAACTGTGTAGGGATTTCAGGAATGTGAAGGCTGATAAAAGCAAGGAGAGCACTAGCTCTACCTTTCTGAGGCTATTAGTTTAGCAAACTAAGGTCCTTTAATAACATTCACCCCACCCAAGCCTGTTTTTCTCATCAGAATGACCCCGCCTGTTTCCTCTGCACGCCGCAGCCCTTGCCGAGCGCCTTCATTGTTCAGAATGTTAAGAAATACTAAGAATAACCTCATCATTTCCATCCCCTCCTTCTACATTTCTCTCAAAGTATGAATCTGCTACTGATGTAAGGTTTACATTAGAGAAAGTTTCATGTTCAGAGATCACGCTCCTACAATACATACAGTATGCGAACATTATATTAGTATTTATTCTTTCATTTTTTAAAAGTATTTTCCATACCTTCATTTTGTAGTTCCCTCTTCACTCTGTCCCTTTTAAATTGCAAGTAGCACTTATAGGAGAGTTTGAATTAACTTCTTATAACAAGTTTAACACTGGTAGAAGCAGCGTTACAACACCCCATGCTTTCATGCCCATGGCCAAGAAGCAATGCTGTACCTATTCAGTTCTTGAACTGCTTCTTCAATCTGCCCACAAGGCTGTCATGCCAACAACTACGATACTGGTTCCTACGGTACGGATATCCGTTTGTCAGACAGTATCTGGAGATCACCTGCTCATTTCAGAAAGACAACCCAAAGTGTCTGCAGATATCCACAGCTCTCCATCACCACCAACATGAGCCAGTTCCATATACTAGCCTCAAGATGGAAGAGTCAATATGCCAACACTCAGAACTGGGTACCCCCCAGACCTCCCCCACAAATTTGTTTTTAACTGTCAGAATCAATTTAATATGGCATTTTAGAAGGACTTATTGGACATCAGTGACAGGTGAGGCAAGGGGTGGACTTGCTCTCAGCTGATACAAAGCCTTCTAGCAACCAGAGTAAGAAAAGCTGATGCTCTTCTGTTCTTCTGGCTCCCTACAGCTCTGGAGACTTACATGCACAAAATTGTGTTTTGTTTTGGTTTAAGTGTTATTACTACTGCCTTCCACAGAATAACACCAAACTAGTAAGAATTATGTCACAAGACCTATCAGACTCTTCTCCAAGACACTCTGTGGACACGACTGCAGAAATCCAGCAGCAAGGGCAAAGATATAATCCATAAGGCATTATAACACAAAAAACCTCAAGTGAGAGGTAGAGAGGAGAGGAAGTTCACCCTCTGCACAGCGTAGGAAGACCCCTTCCCAGTCTCTAGGAAGCAGCAGAAGCGAGTATGCCTTTTCTTGCCAAAGGGCTGGAGTATTTAAGATGCAAGAAAAGTTATCCCTTGTTCTCAACACTAGAAGAGCCTCCGCACCCATATCCAGCATTTTCTATCCTTTTAAACACCGAGGCAATCAGTAGGTGCACTGGGCTAGGAAAAAAGGGAACACATACAAATATGCACACACAGAGGGAGAAAGGAGTAGTTCACAAGATGCTTTGTGCGTCTTTTTTATTAACACTTGGTTAGAAAACATCTCCTGAATTTCTCAAGAAACAAGAAACTGAATACGCAAAACCTCCTATCCAAATATTGGCATGAAATTGTTTGAGATTAATTTCTAGTCTTGAGAGATGTATGAAAAAGAAGAACTGCCAACCTCCCCCAGTTAGGTTTGTAGTTAGTAACAAAGCACTTGAACTTGTGTAGCACTTCACATTTTCTCAGTCCTCTATAAACACTGGCTAACACCAACCAACACAACAAGAGCTTCCTAGCATAGTTTATATACAAAACCATCGGACCAGTAAAACAAATATAAATTGATACTTCTGAAAATAAATAAATAAGCTTACTGGCCACTGGAAGCATACTACGTTTTACAACAAAATTTGTAAGTTTAGCTTTTAGCTCAAGTTCACAGTTCACACTGCAACAGAACCCCTGTAAAAATAATTTGTATAAATACACAAGGAGAAATGACACTCACAGACACAAACACACTACACATACTGTCTGTGAAATACACCATATATACATGTCATTTCAAAACTGAACTGTATGTATGCAGCATTTCAAGCAGGCATTAAAAAAATTAAAAGGAACAAGATTTTTACGTAGCTGCATTACAATGTATATAAAATGATTAAAACACAGGTTATGTTCTTTGACATTATTTATAATGTAATGATCTACGTACCATCAATTTAAAAAAAAAATTGCCAGGCTTAATCCTGATTTAACCTCACCCTTAATTATTAAAAATAGTTAAGCACTTACCATAATGTGATTGAAATGCCTGTGGTTTTACGACCTGATTACAGTGGTTACACATCACCAAATAGAAATCATCATGAGCCGGGCAAAGACCAAATATTGGCATATCTAAAAACAAAAAGACAAAATGGCATCTCTCAGCTGCTGACAATTATTGAAAAACAGTTTAATTACAGAGCCATGACACTAGTGTTGAATCATAATTTTAATACATTTGTATCAAATTTGAAAATGAGGAAAAAAGAGCATATAATGCAGTAGATAATTTTGTGCTGGAGTATTACAAAAGCAAAAATCTTCCTACAAAGATAAATGTAAAATGAGCGATTACTTTTAGAAAACATCTATTAGAAAAGTGATTTAGGACTGATTATCTTACACCAGATGCAAGAACGTAATAAAAAAAGACTGACTTCAAATGACAAACACAACATAAGAGGGGATGTTTTATGTATTCTGAAAGGGGTTTGGATTTTATTCCAATTTCATTAAATGAATTCAAAAGTGAATTTTATTTTCTATTTAATTTTTTAAACCATTTTAAACACACAGTCGTTTACCAGGCAGTATTACCTGCCTAATGGTTTTATTTGTTTAACAATACATTATAGTCCAGCCATCTGCTACCAGAGATCTGTGTAACAGCTATATAAGAGAGAGAAATAGAGATAACAGTATGTCAGAGCATGTGTGGATTTCAGAGATAACACACATACTTGCAGACTTTTACTAATAAAATTGGTGTCTACAATTTTGTTTTTAGGAATACAGTTTTTTAAGAATATAGTTTAACAGTTAAAACTGCATTCAGAGACTACTGGAGCATTAAATACAACATTTACTATACAACTTAAAGGTATACTACATTTATATAACTAAAAATGTTATTCGATCATTAGAAGACAAAAATAGGAAACTGCAAACGTAAGAGTATAAATTCATTATTGCCAAAGCACGTAGCTAAGGGATCTGTAACACTATTTAAAGGTTTAAAACTGATATAAGAAAACTTACTTTCTTAAAAAAAATACTCAAGTAATAGATTTGTTAACAGTAACTTAGAAATTAAGTTAAACTTACTTACATCTGTGCTAGAACTGACCCCAGGGTTTTGTTTTAAAGCTACTAATTTGCCTACGTGTATTTTTAACAACATCCATATTTTTGTTCATTAATGGAACACCAATTGTGAAATAAATTGAGTGGGCTGCATTTTAAGAGTGAATGTGCCATAACCCAAGGTAACCGCTGGCAGTGCGACGCTGTCAGCCCTGTAGAGCCCCACAGACTCCACTTTGTTTCTTGCAGACAAAAGAACGATTCCACACCGAACAGCTTCCAGAATTAAGGGCTCCCTTTGTAGTAAATACCTTCATCATAAAAATTTAATCACCTTTCTTTAAAAAGTAAGGTCTATCCCAGGTTTTCCAAAAACCTTATTAGCGCTACGTTAAAATTAAACATGATACCTGCAATAACAGCTGCAACTGGATTTTGCAGTTGGACGCAAATACAATGACCATCGACATCTGACATGGCTGTGATAGATCAGAGCTACACTAACCTAAATCACAGGCACCTTTTGGCAACTGAGGTTACATTAAATAAATAATAAATTATAAACTGATTACATTAAGCAGCCACTCTTGCTTATTTATTTATATGATATTTATATAAAAAAAAAATATTAAGAGCTCGGGCACACATAACACTGCAAGCTAGGCAAAACTGAGTAAGTATACGCTGGGGGAAAAAATCAAATAGGAATAATAAACTTCTATTTTTCAATGTATACTTTCTGTGATGTAATACTAAGCTAGGTAAGGAAAAAAAACGTATAAACTGAAATGTCATTGCTAATATTTCATGCAGGAGCTCTTTGGGTATGCCTGTGTAAAAAAGTTTCCACATGGCAAGCAAACACTCCAGGGTCACTTCCATTTGACTACTAATACACCATGATGAATGGGACAATAACAGTGCGCACCGCCTGCTATTTACATTGTTAATAGCACACAGACAGGCTGCCACTGTATAATGTCTAACGAACTGTAAATCCACACCCTGTAACCTGTTCTCATAACCGTACCTTTCAGACAACACTGGATTCACAGACTTTACACCAGCTTGTACTGGTGTAAGGGGGGAAACCATTAACAGGAGGAAAGGATTGCCTACTTCTGTGTCTCTTGCAAGATAAAGCACTTCTTGACACTAGTCTGAGATATCACGCTCACTCTATTTAAGTACCCTTTTATGAATATTTGCTGGTAAATACAGAGCTGCAATTTTAAATGACAAGTGAAAGACATTGTCAGAAACTGGTGTAAACAAAAATGTTTTCCTATTTCAGTTTGGGGATCCCAAGAAATCTGAATAATTTACGAGCATCCTTTACACCATGAAGCACATCTTCAGAGTTTCAAAATCAAAGCTCCAAGTGACAGAAAGCAATGCCAAAATACTAGGAAATACACAAAATTCATGAAGAACCATTCTAAGAGTAAAACCACTTGACACAGAAAAAAAGGATTTGTTCCACACCCAAAATCACAACCATGATTTCAGAGGAAGTCACGTACAAGACTCCTGCCAGATCACACAAATCAATGTAAAAGATCTTCTACCCCTGCAGTGCTCTCCTACAGTACTGAGAATAGAGCAGCATCTAAATGCAACGAGCGATGAAGTAGCGGGAATGTTAGAGTCGCAAACACAATTCCTTTTGTTTTCTCATATGAGGTAAAATAAACTATAGCTTTTTATTATCAGAGCATTTATTTAAAATAGAGACAATCAAAACCTTTTGGTGGAGAAACCCACAGGGCTCCAAATAAGACAGGAACCCGACTATGCTGAGCATTGCATGAACACCAGAGACCAGCCCACAGACTAGATACCAGGTGGTAAAAAGTAGTATCAATACTTCATGGAGACCTGAACATTAGTTTTAACAGTGGGTTTGGAACTGTAAGGAGCGTGACCCAACCAAGATCAGCTAAGAAGACTGGAAAAGACCTGAATCCACACTTCCCAACCCAGGAGCCTCACTCTTAGGCAGGTAAGCTCCCACGCGTTTAATGTGCTTCACTGTCATTTTAGTCAAGCAGAGCAAGAGCAGGTTTCAGGGAAATCTTGTTTCTGTGTTTCAATCCAAGGGGCAAACATCTATGCAGCACTGCTATGAGAACGACAAAGTAGACCATGCAAATGTTACAGAATAATATACAGAATAATTTAACAAAACTTACGTAAGTACGTACCAAGAGTAGGAGATGGATGCCTAATTTTTCTGTTGCCCCCCAACCACTTATGAAAGTTCACAAGTCTTGCAGTTGATATTTTAACGTCTAATACTTTATACCTATTTCATTTAATGACATGCAAATTCTCTATTTAAAAGTCTAATTAAGTTTATATTATTTCACCAGTGTCATTTCAAACGCACTGTTCCTCCGAGTTTAAAGATTACTTTTTGAAATACTTCACTGTAAATGTAAAGCCTGTGCCTCTCAGGGAAGAGCCTAGCAACCGTGATTCGTATATTCCTCTTTCAAAGCTGAGCTCATTTAACTCTCTCCATCTGGGAATGTTTTTCAAGGTCAAACTAAAAATTTAAACCAAGACCTCAAACTTTCCATTTATTTTTTCAATAAATGCAGTATTTATATGGTATCAACATACAAATACTGTTATAGGAGCTGCTAGTTTCATTAATTCTATTAACACCATAAAGAAAAACAACTTCATTTACCTCCATAATATGAAACCTCTGAACATTGTGACCTCCAGAATTCACTTCTCCTTTCAAATGTAACTTAGTTACTGTGTTTTTAAAAAGGTAACTTGAAATGATATATTGCAGTACTCTTCACCAAAACTAGAACAAGCCCATGCCATAGGCGATTCTGAGATATTTTAACTGCATTATTTATTGAGCATCTAATAAGGAAAATGCTTCTTATTTGGAAAAGGCCAATACAGCATCTTTTCTAATAAAAAAGGAAAACCAATAACGGACAATCTGGCTTACTGTACATCAAGTAACATGGAGCTCAGCATGTCTACTCTGAAAAACTTTCTTAAACTGAGCTGCCATCTCCTCTTCTCCTGAGGGATGTAGAAGCACATAAGTCACCTAATAATTTCTTTGTATTTTCAATATTTTCTTTCAAGACAGTTACACTACAGAAATCCACGCCTGTGGTCGTCAAAAGTAACTGTGTCTGTGTACTCTCAATTCTATTACTTAACATCACAGACAACAGAACAAATAAAACAGGCTAAATCACGCAGCTAGAGAACAGGTCGGCAGTTTGCGTTTATTGAGCCACTAGATTCAGTGACTGCCACAGCTCCACTATGTATTTTTATTGGATTTTTTTTTTTTAACCCCCCCCAGTTTATCAAATTTCCTACAAATCCTGTTGTCCCTTTTCAGACCGGGACCATTGCACTATCCTAGCATCTAATAAGACAATATCCCTTCCAGAAATGAAATGAAATACCACCAAAAAAGTGAGGTCAAGATCTTCTCCAGGACAGCAAACTCTGGAGGAAGAGGGTAAAAGGAGGCCTAATCCTGGCTGTTTGCAGAGACCAGAACACAAGTTTCCTATTTTGCAGAAGTCTGCTCACCGCGACTGAAAAAACAAGGAGAGTGAAAACTGAAACAGAGGAAGAGAAAGCAAAACCAGCAAGGGCAGAACTGAAAGGGCAAAGAACAAACTCTATCACAGTTAGAGCAAAAGAATAAAAAACTTGATGAAAAAAGTGACAAGAATACATAAAAGTACTGCAGAAATATTTTTTAAGCCAGAACGCTGCTAATGCTCACTTCTTCCCTATCCATTCTCAGCGTAAGCATCTGCTTATTAAGATTATTTCTTAAAGTCTGAATCTGATTTATCACAAATATGTATGTACTGCTTGCCATTTACTGTAATTTGACCATGGACATTTCATGCTGATGCCTGATGTGAACAGCAAAATGTTTTGACTACAAAGATCCCCACGGCATTGCATAACATGCCTTCAGCACAACACCAACCTGAGTATACTTCCATAATATTTTTAATCACTATAGTTAATATTAGATGCATTAATAG